ATTCATTTTAGAAGTTATTTTTGGCTTAAGAATTGACTCAATTGTGACTCTTTATTGTAAATCCCGACGACAAACCATATTATTTCAAATGTCATTCATTTTAATAGTTTTTATTTCAGTATTATTTCATTCTCGTCATATTTGCACTAATCTCATACTTTGTAGAATTTAAGACATTTATCAAATTTTAAAACTTTTTATTTATTTATTTATTCTTATATTTTTAAATCGATTAAATTTCTATTTTTAAAAAAACACTAATTTCTAACATCCTATAAATGTACCCATTTTTGATTACCGGTACATAACTGGAAATAATTATTTTTTTGTGTTATATCCGTTTGGATGGTTTGACTGCCATTTCCAGGCAGAGGCGCACATCTCTTGCAAACTCCTAACAGCCCTCCACTCCAGCTTTTCCAGCGCTAGCTGTGAGTCGGCATAGAGTGCGGTCACATCTCCCGGCCTTCGCTCCACTATTTTGTACGGAATTTTGATGCCATTCGCCGATTCAAACGCTTTGATTATCTGAACAATTATTATTGGGTTTTGGGAATTATTTATTTGGTTTACAAAATCAAACTTAATTATACCTCGAGAACTGTATAGCCTCTACCGGTGCCCAAATTGATTGCATTGAATCCATGCCAACCCTTATCAGATATCTTGTCGAGTGCTTTTAAGTGTCCGTTCGCCAGGTCCTCGATATGGATGTAATCCCTGACACCCGTCCCGTCGGGTGTATTGTAATCGTTGCCAAAAACTTTGAGTTCGCTTCGGATGCCAACCGCCACTTGACTTATAAATGGCATTAAATTATTGGGTATTTCTTGCGGGTCTTCGCCGATATCACCGGAAGAGTGAGCGCCCACTGGATTGAAATAACGCAGAGATATGACCGTCCAGTCAGGCGATGATCCGCACAGATCGCACAGAATCTGTTCGACCATATGTTTGGTCCTCCCGTAAGGATTAGTACACGTCTGACCAGTCGGTGAGGTCTCGACCAGTGGTAGCTCTTGGGGGTCGCCATAGACTGTGGCCGACGACGAAAATATCAATTTCTTCACTCCAAACTTACGCATTGACTGTCATTATAAGCATTGAATACACAGTATTTAGTCATAATTTCATGCAAATATTATTTTAAAATAGTTATTCTTAAGTCAATTCCTAATAAATAGTTATTTTCATTGAATAATTTGTTGATAAAATATCTTTTAAGGTTTTGAGTTCAATGATTTAGTGCATAATAAAAACGGATATAATTGTACAAAATCTGATTAGAGAGGCCTTAAATATATTTTTACTCGCATTTCATCTATTTATCTAAATTATAATTTGTGTTATTCTGTCACTCATATTGAGTTCAATTATACCATCATGTGATGCATTTGAAAGCAATTTTTATGCAAATTTACATGAATTTTAATGATAAATCTATTAAATATAATAAAATAATATCTCAAATGAATTCAAAATCATAATGATGTGCATATAATTACAAAATTACAGATATAAAATTCTGAGTAAAGTGAATTTAAAAGCTAAACGAATGTCCATAAAAATATAGCAAATGATGCAGACCTTGAGCAGTTTGATGGTTCCACTAACATTATTCTCGTAATATTCTAGTGGTTTGGCCACCGATTCTCCCACAGACTTGAGAGCAGCGAAATGGACGACAACATCAATCTTATGATCGGTGAAGACTTTATCCAAAAAGGACTCGTCTTTTAAGTCTCCGTTTATGTATTGTTTGACTTTCCGATTGGTCAGTCTCTCCACTTGTATGAGACTTTCGGGCAGTTCTTTGCCCTCCAGTCGCACCGAATTGACCAAATTGTCGACAACTATCACATCGTATTTGTTAAGTAAGAACTCAAGCACACAGTGAGAGCCCACATAACCGGCGCCTCCCGTCACCAAAATTGTTTCACACATTTTTCTATTAGTTTTAGTTTCAGTCGATTTGCAGCTTAAATTAACGTTAAATAAAAATTTGTGCAAAATGATTTATATATTGAATAAATAATAGCTGTATATTAAATTAACAAGTAAACACGAGGCATATTATCACACCATTAGGCACTGAACTTTATAATTATGATATAAAATATCAGATAATTACTTTTGATTATATTGACATTATAAACAGTGATAATGTGTTTTTTAATCAGTCATTCAGTATTAGTAGTGGAATAATATTTCGTCAAAAAAGTCACAGCTTTCTAAATAATGAAAATGCATTACTTTGTACTGCACTGTATTGATAGATACACTATAAACCTATTATGGAAATGCTCTAAATTAAGCTACAATTACATTATTAAGCTTTGAATGCTTTTACAAATAAAATACAAATAAGGTGGCAAAATTCATTTCAAAGCTTCTGTTTTCAAAAAGTATTTTTAAATTTTTGTATTAATAAATGTCAAATTTATATATTACATAACTTAGATCCGCTACTCATTGTGCAAGTTATCCTGGGTCTTCTAGCAAAAAATTTGGCAATTTAATGCTATTAGGCAACAATTTAAATATTCTACTTTATAATTTAATAACTTTTAAAACTACTGTACGTCTACGTATAAAAATATTTTTAAATAAAACCATTTACTGGTAAAAGAATTAATGTAAATTTTTAAAACATTCACTGAATTAGTAGTTAGAACTTATATAAAGAAATTTAGTATTTTACATAAATATTTGCAATCATTTAGGAATTTATGAAATTTAATAAAGCATTTAAAAAGTAAAACATTTAAAACCTAAAAATTGTAATCAAAGATTTGTAATCAAAGTATTAACAATATACTTAAATCTACATTTACTTCTCAATACAAATATATAAGAATAAAATATATAATAAGAATAGATATTGAATTAATTTCCTGTAACAAAATACTTTCGATTAATAGGCGTCTCGAGTAATAGAAATTTCGTGTTTATTACTGTTTTTCGAAATCAATGGCAAAAACTAGCAATTAATTAATTTAATTAAAAAATGAGTAAAACATTTGCCAAGAGAAATGCTATAATAAATGAGAATTTCTATGAAGTGCCAAATGTGGCGACGACTTCATTCAATAGCACACCTAATATGAACCGATCCTATCAAGTCANACGGAAACCTCAATGGGATCAGTACTACACACCTGTATGCGGACGACGACCAGGTGAGCACATCCAATATATACCTCCAATTCAAATGTCTTTAAGTGCTTTTCGATCAAATTGATTAAAATGGAGATTCAGTCTTCAATCCAATACGACGTTTATTCACACATTTTTAATATAATATAATAATTTATTTGTGTGAAATTAAGTACAGAAAAGTGTATAGCTAATGTAATTAATGTTTATAAAACAACTATAGTTTGTGCGGGATATAATTCAAAACAAAATATACTGGAATAACTGGAATAAAAATATTCAGCAATTGAAATTGATTTAAAAAGTTTATCGTATTTGGAAAATACGGTATTAAAAAATAAAAATATAGTAGACTATGAAAATTGGTTATAATATTAGAATTACACCCTAGTTTATGAAGTCATTCAATTTTATCATACAATTATGAGTTGATTTATAAACTTAAAACTTTCTAAAATAAAATACTTTCATAATAAATTGTATTTATAAAATAGATAGTGTTCAATTTCCACCACAAGCCATAATTCAATATTTGCCTCATTTTCAGCCCAAATCTCGAGTTAAACGCTTTGTTGGCGTAGTATTTCTAATTGGATTAGTGGTGACGAGTATAGCATTTCTAGCATTTGCTATATTTTATGATGAGATCATCGATAGCGACGGCGAGAACACCGAACAATATTGGAGTCGTGTTCAGAAAGAGATCAAAATCAAACAAAATGCATCCAGGCTCGCTTTATATAACAACACATTAAGCAACATAACTGATGACCAAAATTTTGTATCAATAGTATCAGATTCAACACATGTTCACAACATTTCTAAACCTTCCAAACTATCGATTACTTTCGATAACTTTATTTCCGGTGAATTAAGTTCTAGGACATTTTACGGCAAATGGATTTCAGACAATGAGATACTTCATTATGATTCACAAAATAATTTATGCATTTTTAATGTCCTAAAATTGTCTAAAGATATTCTCATTCCCACCGAAATAATAGTTAGTATTAAATTAATACTTATTAATAATTAGAATAATTTAATATCTATATAAACTATTGCAACAAATTTAGTTTAAATTGCAAATATCTTTAAATTAATTTGAATGGTTTGTCACAACAGAAACACTATAGACTTTCCGGTCTCTCCCTATCGCCCGATCGAAAATACTTTCTAACCGTATATAATGCACAAAGAGTTTATAGATATTCAACATTGGCTAAGTATAGGATCTATTCAATTAATGAAAGGTCA